AGGAAGGAAGGAAGGAAGGAAGGAAGGAAGGAAGGAAGGAAGGAAGGGAGGAAGGGAACGCGAAGATGATCTATCAGAAGGTAGTTTTACGCAACGTTTTATGGCGTTTTTTTGGCCAGATTTTCTTCCCACTTACCCAAAAAAATAGCTTGATTCTTTTTTTTTATTAATTATTTTTTAATCAAAACTGAAAGTGACCAATTTAAATAACTTAGCTGGTGTTTTATTGGATGTCTGTAGAAAGGTTCCCCTCCATTTAAAGATAAGCTAACTGGCAGATTGATGGTTGATGGGGTTGGAAAGAAGAACGGCCTTAAAGAGATAGTTTAAACAAATCATAAAAGGTAACACCAAGTAAAGTTTTTTCCAAAAGAAAGCGTGAAAAACTCATAAATCGACTCAAACAGCAACAGGTATATTTGTACTGTCTTTCAAATCTTTGACACCAACATTTATGGCGTCATCCCTGCTGTAACGATTCAGTATAAAGTCTAAGAATAAGCAAAAACAAGAATAAAAAAGAAGAGGAGGAGGAGGAAGAAGGGAAAAATGGGTAAGCAGGATTTTAAAAAAAGTATCTACTTTTTAGTTTTACAGATAAAAAATGGCTGATTGATATGGGAGGGGGGAAGCAAATGAACAATTTTTCAAATTCCCATCCAATATTTTCCGTTCTGTGAGTGATTATTTAACACGAACACGTACAAATCTCACATTTATCGTTAATGACACTGATCTCGCAATGCCATCGCACGCACGCAGGAATTTTTTTGGGGGGCCTTTCAGCGTTGGAATAATTTAATAAAGCTCGTCATTTTTGCAATTAAACCGCAATTCAATGGTGTAACCGAAAGAGCATCACAGACATAAAATACTTCATCAGTCCAAAATATTTGATGTCGTTCCTGAAAACTTTAACGGTCCTCTGGTATCCAAGTAATTATCATTTTGAATACAGCTTGAATATAAAAAAATATTTAATTATTCCTATAAATGCTTTATTTTCAGAAGGGACGAGGAATACAATTAAATATTCACTTATCGCCCTCTACTGGTTTATATTCACTACTACATCCCAGTAATGTGAAGGAAAACCCTTTAGCTAAATGTCCTTTTCTATTAATTCGATGTTTTAACCCATAAGAACCACAGAGTTACACAGGTGTAGCTAACAATTTAAACCAAAATAAACTGATTGAACATAAATAAATAGATATCCTGAAATTTCCCTTTTACTAAACACGCACCTGTACTCTTATGGGGCTCAACGTGCAATTTAAATACCTTTAAAAGTTTAAAATTCCCCTTTAAACAGGGCTGCCAATAACAAAAGATGGACTCCCTTCAAATTCTGGTTAAAAGACTGGTTAAACATACTTTTTTTTTTTTTTTCAAATATCTGGAAAGCATTCGTCAAATATGTTACCTTTTTGATTCATCAAAACTAAGCCACTTGTAATTATATCACGTCAGTGTGTAAATTAACTTTACATTAACAATAATAACATATTGTTTGGGTGAATTTTTTTTTATTTTTATGCTAAGCTATTTGGAACGTAGCCCCGGTTGCACCTCACCAAAACAGGAAGTTTTCGCACTTAATAGCTAAAGGCTAATCTGTTAGCCTACGTGTTACGTAGTGACTCTACAGTTATTTAGACAACGTTTAAACTTTGTTGACGAGTTGTGTCACTGATACGATTATTAGAGGATTAAAATAATTGTCTGTGTTTGCAAATAGTTGTATCGGCTTGTGTTTTGGGCCACGTAACTGATTTTTTTTGTCTAGAGTTAAGAGATTATCCGACTAGCTAGGTGTTTGGCTAACGCTAGCAGGTGGCCGGTTTCGGCCGGGGGATTTTTTCGCAGTTCCGACTTTTGCATCTGATGCCACGGTTGCGCCGCCCCAAACCTGGCCAGTCCTCTCGGCGCCCGGATATCACCGTAACATGAAGCCATGGAGGAGCGAAAGCTAAAAAGAAAGATTCCCCGGACGACGACTACGACGACGACCACCCACACGGCCACTCCGACCGGTGGCTCTGCCCGGAAGAACAGCGCTTCCCCCGGGGGGAGACATCTCGGCTACAGCCACAACACGGGAACCCACTCTAGCCAAAAGAGCAAAAGTCGGAGGTAAACATTCGAAAATTACGACATTATTTCGACAAATAACACCCATTTTCTATCATTTATTTGTCTGGCCGTAACCGGGGAAACTGTTGGTGTTTACCTTTTGACAGGGGTTTCAAAGAAAAACCCCGAAATCAGCTGGGCTCCCAGGCTAAAGCTAACCAGAACCAGAACCAGAACCAGAACCAGGCGGCACCCGTCATCCAGCACTCGTTTCTAACCGACGTCTCGGATGTCCAGGAAATGGAGAACGGCCTTCTCGGTCTTCTCAACGACTTCCACTCAGGGAAACTACAGGCCTTTGGTAATTTAAGCACCTAATAAAGAACACACAACCATATGTGCCTTATAAAACTAAGAAAAATGGGTCCGTAAGACATAAGAAAAGGTGTCTTATGGACCCATAACTGCTTATTGTCTGACCACTAAGTTGTTTTTTTTTAAGTAATTACACCAGATAAGAAAACTATGACAATAATTATTTAAATAAATGAGAAAAATCGGCCAACAAGCGTCAGCTGAAAACAACTATGATGTGGGGGGTTTTTCTGTTATCATTGTTTTTATTGTATTTTTTCACGCTAGGCAACGAGTGCTCCATTGACCAAATGGAGCAGGTGAGAGAGATGCAGGAGAAACTCGCACGCTTGCACTTTGACCTCTACGGCGAGGTGGACGAAATGCCCGAGGACCAGAAGAAAACGGCCAGCGACACCAACATGGACAAGTTGCTTTTCAACGTAAGGCTCCTTTTAGAGACGAAAGACCATTTTTACGCGAATATTCGTGTCCTGGTAGGGGATTTAGTTCATTTTATCCCCCCCAGTATGCCAAGCTCTTAAAGAGTTTAGTCAGATTGTTGAATTCTGAACAAGATGAAGTATTTTTGGACAAGCTTTTGTTGCCACAAAGTCCCGGTTTGTTTAATAAAATGACGTTTTTGTTTTCCACAGCTCGAGGAGCTGAGTTCTTCCATGTATCCTTTCGCTTCCGGAAACTTTCCACGTGAAGTATTAATCCGCGCTTGCTTTTTAAAAGTATTGAAAGCTAATGTAAGGACGGGAGCTGTTTTGTTTTGTGTTGTTGTTTTTTTCCTTGACGCGCCGTTTCTCTTCCAACAGTCAGAAATTGAATCTGGCCGACAGTCAAGAAATCCCCAGGACATCCAGCATCTGATCTTATCTTTCTTTTTGTATTTTTTCTTCCTTCACCTCTTTGAAAACCACTGTTTGGGGATGTATTTTGAGATTACCTCCTACAGATGGACCAGTTTCTCATATCGAGTAGATAATAGCTTTAAACGTATCTAACTAAAAATGCAAGAAACCAGTATTTTACTTATGTTACAATGTTTATGCCAGCTTGCCGTGTCTTAATTAAGGCTACATTCACAACATAAGGGGGATCATGCACAGAATTAAATAAAGATCCTGCAAAATCTCACTTTTAAAGTGGGATTTAATAAAGAATAATCACATATATATGTATCTAATCTATTACCACACTTCAAGGTTCTGTCTAGGACTGATTTGAGACACGAAAGTGTGAAATGTAGCCCGACCAAAGCAATCAGATCAGCAAACGCCTCAAACTAAAGACCCAGGACTCGACTTTTTCGGATCCTATGTGACAGATAAACGCGTCAACGGTTCAAAAAAGCGAGCAAAGGACCTTTTGCGGGGGAAACGGAGACGAACAAACGAAAAAAAACTAAATCAAATCGTGAATTACCGTCTATTTTTATGTATTTCCCGATTTTTTTCTTTAGCATTCGATTTATCACAGGACAAACTCCAGACTGTTCAGTATTGACTATTTTTGCACATATCCATATAAAAAATGTATGCAAAACACATTGCACATTATCCATAGTGTCTTTGGTTTTGACGCTGTAAAAGAGCAAATCTTCCAAATGTCACAACCATGCCTTTTTCTCTCTTTTTTTTATTTTTTATTTAATCATCTTCCGCCTTATTAGTTCTTAACTTTAAAGTGTCATTGTTGTCGACTGCTTTTACCTTTGGATGAGTTGTAAGACACTTATTGGATGCTGCTTCGACTGTAAATAAGAGTTTATAATCTTCCTCTCTCCTGTGTGAAATTACACTTTTTCGGGGAAGTTTTGGGGATTTTATTTTTTTGTTTTGAGTCAATAAATATGTCGATCATTAAGGATTTGTCAGCTGTAATTCTGTTCAATCATTCGGAAGCAAATAAGATGGATTCTGTCCTTTCGTTTCATGATTTCTTTTTAACTAGATTTTGAACTAGATTTCAGCCTGAAAAGCTCTTGCCACACAGAACACTGGTCAGAATTTAAGAGGAAAAAAAAAAACGATATTTCTGTGTCAATATAATTCCTTGGTTTTGGCACAGATTTTTAAAAATGTTTATTTTTATTTTTATAGTTGGTCATTTGATGATTATTCTGGTAGGTATGTGAGGATGGTGTTGGAGTTCCCATCACATTTCACCATATCCAGGGTCAGGCAAGTATTAAAAAATGTTTTTGTTTTTTTCATAAATAGGTTTCCTAATCGATCCCTGGTGTGTTGCAAGTGACAATTCCAGTGTGATTTCTTTTAGAGGGTGTCTGTTGTCTTTTTTTTTTAACCTTTTTCCTCCTGCACAACCTACCCAAGTCTGGTTTTACCAGTTTTCTAAATGCTAAAACAAATTTTTATTTATCTATGAAACAGTCAACTTATAAAGACTATGCTGGGAATAAAAATAGCTCCTAGTAGTCTTTACCTCTGTACTCTTGAGTACTTTGGAGACAATAGACCATTTTGTGTGAATTAAGAATGTGGAAATTAAGACGGCAGAAGCCAGCTAAATTATTGAGTGGCGGACAGTAAACGTCTGGACTGGTTTTGGAAAACACCTGCAGAATTGTAGTAGCTGTATTCATCTATATGTCATTTGCTGATTGGAGCCTACCACTTTTGGGGGATTTTACTTCCAAACTGCAAGGCATTTCCCCCCCTAACTTATGAGCTGCTGGATGATGTTTTTTATTTTAATTTTATTTAATTTATTTTTTTGCATTATTTTCCATGTTGGAAGTGCATAAACATTTTTAAAAATTATGAGCTGCTGGACGATGTATATTATTATTATTTAAATTTAATTAATTTTTTTGTATTATTTTCCATGTTGGAAGTGCATAGACATTTTTTACATTATTTTTTTTTGGGAGAGTAATTGACGATGGTGGGATGGCTTATGTAGAGGAATTCACCCGTCCCTTTTGTTGACGCGTTTCCATGGTTACAGGCTGCCTCAGCCTCTGAACGCGCGTTTGCCAAGAAGGAAAAACGACACCTGACAGGGTTTTATTTACTTTTTTTTAAATATCTATTTGATAAGAACTCTAAGGGGGCATGGAGGTCAGCCATAAATCCGCCCCTCCCTCTGTGAAGCGCTGGCAGCTGGACGGGACAGACCACGGACCCCCCCATCTGAGGTCCGGGGCCCTTCTCAGCAGCTGGACTCCTCTCAACCACAAGCAGAGCAACAGAAAGGTCCAAACTCAATCCTTTTTCTTTTCTTTTTAAACTTTTTTTTAAATATAATTTCCCCCAGCGGCATGGAAAAAAATATATTGTTCCTATTCTATTTAAATTATTATGAAATACCCCTTTATGAATGGGTTAGTCCAGATGTCTTAATGGTTCCATGCCATAATAACTGTCCACTTAAAAATTTTAAAAAATCTGAATCTAAGCCTGCATTCCACGTTTGAGATTGCAGTGCACTGGGTTTATCAATTTAATCCCACAAAGACTGATTATAAAGTTTTCATGTCTTTGGAAAAAAAATCTAATACAATTTGGCAGTCTTTCAGGAAACCAAAAATGTAGGTGTGATATACGTCGATTCCAAAATGGCAGAATAAAGATGTATCAAATGGAAAAGTTTGGCCTTTCTGTGTAGTTACTGCTAGAATGGTGTAAATAGATTTACTAATCTATCTGACTACACACTGGTAGGCAATGTCGGGTCCAGCTTCTTACCTAAGGATTTTAGATATAACCCATGGAAGCCATAAATCAAACCAACAACCTTTCAATAGTAATAAAATAGAATAATTTAGAATATATAAAGGTCCTTTACAAGGGAGAGTTATTCAAATATAATTATATGATTATCAAGATATTAAAATGTTACATTGAACACCAACTTACCAATTGACTCACTGACCACTGAGGGTAACATCATGGAGCAGCCACTCCGCCTCTTGAGCTAAAATCTGTTTTTCAAATTTCAAATCTTTGTGCAAACTCCATTTCTTTAAAGGCACATGGACATGACGGACAATAAGAATACCTCGTACCAGGCTTCTAAAGGCCAAGAGCCCATGGTTGACGTTCTGGTCCCATCATCAGACCTCTGGCTTTGTGTCTTGGACATTGGGTTAAAGGGGTTTGGGTTAAAGCTAGCACATCCTTCTACAAAGTTAAAGAGTTAAAGAATCATGAGTCGATTCAGAAATATTTGATGGTTGAAGTGAGTTTGAATGGGAGGGTTGCTAAACTCAGACTTCAATCTCAGCAATCTCCAAAGCAAAACTGAAATTACCCGAGGTGCTTCGAGCACCTGATACGGAGACTTCCTTGTCATCTTCCTTTTCCAACTGGGAGGAGAGAAACTACGGAGATGAATATGTCTACTTTAAGTGAAAGGAAAAGATTATTTAACCACCCTTAACTAGAATAGAAGAGGTGTGCGTTGGGGCGTTGAAAGGGAAAGGCTTTCTTTCTGTGTAAGTTAGACACTTGGAGAAGAGATACTTCCGAAGATATAGATGAAGAACACTAGAATCGGGCACATTTAAAAGCACAAAAACAAACGATAAACACACGATTTTAAACTTCTGCAATATAAATGGCTCATGAAAACCTATTATACACCAGTTAGGCTTCATCAAATGCTTACTTGAAAAAGGAACTCTTCTCCATTGTCTGTGGGAATGTCGTAAAGTCCAGAAGTTTTGGAACGATGTCACTAGGTGTAAGTAAGTGTAAAAGTACACGTTACAATGCTAAGTATGTATTCAAGTATTCAATCAAATGTATTGGAGAACCACCTAAGAATACCCCTTTACTGTGGATGAGCATTGGCCCAATCCATTTTCCGTTGGGATGGCCAAGCTAGTCATCTAATATCTACATCTCTGACCTCATTCTTTCATGGAATATCAGTTATTTGAGGAGCGGGTGAACCTTGTGCTCCACTGGTTTGACCTTTGGACCGATGTCCAGAGGAAACACCTTCTGCACTCCCTCCTGACCCGCAGCACCAAGTCCCAACTTAAGTAAGACGGTGTGTTTTACGAATGACCCAAAAAATCTGAAACCATCCAGAACCAATTTATTCGAAAAACTTCTGACCATTCGAGCAGGTACTGCAGGGACCTCCTGACGGGAACGGTTCCGGTCACCCGGGCGGACTTCGCCGTGCTGCTACCTCGGTTTCTGACCCTTTACGTCATGTCCCACCTCTCCCCCCTGGACCTCTGCAGAGCAGCCCAAGTCAGCTGGCAGTGGAGGGTCCTAGCGGAGCAGGTTATAAATCAAAACGACATGTATAAAACCAATAGTTTTGGGGGTTGTATCTTAAAAAAACAAACATGTAAAGAGACGGTCTTCTCTACAGGACTGTCTCTGGATAGGTCGGTGCGTCAGGAGAGGCTGGTTTCTTCCCTACACCCCCAGGGAAAAAGAGTTCGGAGCCTGGAAGAACCACTACGTGACCTGTGTCTCCTCGATGAACTTGCCCCCACCACGTGAGGCCTCGATACCATATGGGGGCCTCGACCAGCCTCAAAGCAGGCGTTGGACAGAGGAGGAGGAAGAGAGGAGGACGGAGAGAAGAATAAGGGAGAAAACCAGAGAAAAACTCCAGGAGATGAAGAGTGAGTCGATATAGAATATATCATCGTGGATTTTCTGATAATCCTCTTGATGTTCTGTAAGGACATTGGTTGCTGTTGAGACATCTGATGTAGGTTTGATTGAAAGTGGCTCTATATTTCTGACATTTTTTAGGACTAGCCATGAGAAGCAGAGGACCGTGGGGCAGTAATCCAAAGGCTAACAGGGCCAGAGGCGGAAGTAAACAGACGGAAAGGACCGGCTTGGGGATAACATTCGGCTCTCTGCCTTCTCTTTCGTGGCCTCCAAGGACTACTGTGTCATCTATCCTTGGTCTCAATCTGGACAGAGAACCAGCTCATAGCCTGGACAGAGAACCAGCTCAGGGCCTGGACAGAGTCCAGGCGTCCAGCGTTAGCAGGTTCCTCATTAGCTTGTACAATATACTTAAACCAGAATGAAAGTTAAGTTAGCTTAAATAATATTGGTATATGATGTTAAAATATGTTAAGATATACTAGGAACTATGGTTAATTCTTGTACTTTTGGCTCAGTCGTAAACCTACTGGGTTTTCCAACATGTCTGTTGATGTTCAGCAAATGTACGGAATCTGTAGGAGATCCAAAATAATTCATTTAGCCAATCTTTTAGCATTAGCTAAGATACTTTTGACAATAGGAACCTTTGTCTTTTTAACAAACTCCATGCAACAAAGCTTATTTACCATAGATTTGACACGTATTAACGTTCAATTTAACTTATAACATGGGGTTGTGTCCTCCTTGACCAGCAGGTTCTCGCAGCCGGACAGAGCCTCGTCCTGTGATTACCCACCTCCTGCTCTTTTGATGCTCCTCTCCAACAAAATCCCTGCCTACGAGGTAGAAGAACAAAACCTAGGTGTTTGCTATCAATCGTTAAAAAGGAGATCAGCCATTTTGAAGGGGGATAAATAACTATGATTGCCTTTTTACGATGTTCTTACGCTCGATCTAGTTGGTGCTTAGCGGTTTGAAGGCCGGGGTCATTGTGGTCCTGTACGACTGCAGGGGAACTCTCTCGGCTTTGTTAAGCCGGGTGGAGAGAGCCACTTTGGGGAAGCAAATTCAGAGGATCGGCATTCTGGCTCCGGGAGGAACCGAGGAAATCCGGCTTCTGAACGGTGAAGCTCATTCTCTTCGTTAACGTGAACTTCACAAATTTTTTCCGATTTTGGTTAAAGGGTAACGTTTGGTTCTGTGTTTATCCTTGGATTTAAAAAAAAATAATTTAGGTCAGGTACTGTCAGAGAGTACCGTGCTGACCCCTGACCACAGAGAGTTTTGGGAAAAACTGGCCGGCCGGGTGGCGCCGACGGAAGAGGGGGGCGGGATGGACGTCTTCTGCCCACTGGCTGCATCTGGTAGCACACAACACAATGTTTCATACGCTTCTTCATCTCCGTAAAGTAACCAGATCTCTGGTTTTGACCGCCTCCTCAGCATCAGGTGTGACCCTCATCCGTGCTCTCTCTGCTCTGACCGGTCTGGAAGTCCGCGCCCCAGTAGGTCTCGACACAGGAAGTTTCCAGAGCAGTGAGTGACCACTTAGATGTAACCGTACGCTATGACTTTATATCATACTACCCTCTCTGTCTGGTTGTTTGGCTTTATTGTAGCCTGAAATAATAATATGAAGTACGCTTTAATGGTTAAATAGCTGCTAAATCAGTGTGACCTGCAGTCTGAGCTCTCAGAACACATTTTGTATTGGGCTTTAAATTGAAAATATGGATATGGAAAGAGCCTTTTGTCTGTCCATTGCATTTGAAGTATATTGAAGCATATTGAATATATGCTTAGACAGTTTTCATCATCCCTCCTGTGTCATTCTTTAAAAAGACACTTTCAAAAACCTGGCAGGCATCTCTGCTTTTGTTAGCTAAACTGGCATCTCTTCAAAATGGCTAGACTGACGTTAGGCTATTATGATATGGAACGTTGTGTTAGAATTGGGCTATAATTACCCACTTAACATAACACAGTATGTTCTAACTTAATCCATGTAAATGACTGATTGTCTTATTCCTTTTTAGATTTTATATTATTCCCTTAATAATTCTACTTTTGGGTTAAACTATGGTATTTGGTGGAATTCTTATCACATTCCACCAAAACCAGCATGAATTAGGGGCCTATGGCCTGTTTCTATGTCAGAGGTAACTGGCTCTTGCCGACTGAGATCCTCCGGGAGCTTTGCTTGTGACCAATAAAAGTCATATTTGTACTTTTGATCTACACAAAAGAATCGGGCCAGCAATTATCTTTAAAATCTTTTTTAAAATTGTATTTATCGCGTATTATTTTGGTTTTTTTTGCGAATACGATTCCAGTTCTGGGCGAGTGGTCAGACGCCGAGCTCTCGGAGCAGCACCAGCAGCAGGGGGGGCCGGCGGGGGCTCCGGCCCGGCTGTACGTGTGGGACGCCGCCCTGCAAGGCTGGTGCCGACAGGCGCTGTGGATGGAAGAAGCTCTGAGGGAGCTGAGGAGCTCCCTGGAGCCACGGCTCTGGCCTCTGGCCAGCCTCCAGGCCAGAGGCCGAGCTCTGGGTGGGTCTCGTCCCCCACCGGGTCAAAACCGCACATCGGCTTTAAACGGTCGGATGTCGTCTGTGTCTCGTAAACTCTCTATAAAGAAGGCGCTTTTTTATCTTTATAGGTTTTTGTCTGTGGGAGAGAATCTCCCTTGACAAGCTCGATGTATCCAAAGAACTCGGTGACGCACTAACTGAGGGACTCACTGCTTTATGTGGACAGGAAGAGGAGGTAGGAACAAATATACATATATACTTTTTTTAACATACTTTGTGTGAAATAATAAATAAAAAAGGAAAGAATGTAACACAAGGACAAGTTAAATGCTCTGTCATTTCAATTCTCACCTGTAATTATTCGCTTTCAACAGACCAGACCTGTTGAATTTTTGGCGTCCTTCTTGATGAAATGGAGTCAAAATAAGGAAGAAGGGGATAATAACGACCCGGATAAACCCCAAAACGCAGCGGGCGATGAGGCATCTTCGGCAAAACTGATTTCCGGCCTATACGGCTCAGTGCCCGAGCTCCCACAGGTTTGCTCTCTTTGATTTTTCATTAAGAGAAAGGTCAAACATGAACATATTGTCATATTGTTTGTTTCTCTCCGTGTCTAGACGGCGTTAGATTGGAGAGGCGAAGTCGTAAGAGAGCTGCACAAGAGTGAACGTGACTACCTGGGAAGGCTAAGCGCTTTGTTGAAGGTAAAGACCTTTAATTCCGCTAACTCACGTGGGACTACCAAAGATTTGTTAAGAAACCTGGCATAGGGATTTATATTTATGTATTGGAACAACTACAGCTGGTGAGGTTTTATCTGTTTTGGAGTACGAAAGGACGAAATGTGTCAACAGATGTGTAAAAAAAAAGAGCATATGGATATGAATAGAGAAGAGGCAGAGTAACAGTCAGACAGATTTAAGAAACTGCAGCTACAAAAGGGATAGAGGCTCAAATCAAGGCCGACATTCAGGGGATGAACTTGAGTATGATTTTTAGTTTTAAAAAAATTATGGTTTAAACCTCAGGCTTCTATATTGGTGTGTCTCTTTGTGTTAAAGGTGTACCACGAGCCTATAAAAGCAGCGCTCGACTCCAACAGAGCCATCCTCAGTTATGCTGACATCCAGATTATCTTCAGCCCCGTTGCCCAAATTCTCAATCTGAACAGGTTAGTTTTAAAAAAACAAATCATAAAACATATCGTATACAATATCGGCAGATATGTAGGTGTGTTTGCGTTGCATGTTCTAGGACCTTTGAGGCGGATTTAGTGACCAGGCTGGAGCAGTGGAGCGCGGACCAGTGTGTTGGAGACGTGTTTCTCAAGCTCTCCTCGAAACTGAGGGTCTACTCCAACTACCTAAACAACTACGCCACGGCCCTGAAGACCGTAGATAAGGTGGAATCGGCATTTTTTAGGGTCCTCCTGTAACACAGAAGGGCCGAACGGTGACAAAGTAGCCAAGCGTTTAGCGTTAAATAAAGTTTCGTCCCCGTGTGCTATGTCAGTGCAGAGACACGAAACCAAAATTCCGGGCTTTTCTGAAGATGGCTGATAGAACTCTGGCTACCCAAATGTTGAGGTGACAACATTTTTTTGTCAATCCCCAGAAGATCCTCGGGATTATTCGTAAAAATGATCTAAATGAATTGTCACTTGTAAAGCCTCCAGGAGCTGCTGCTCTCTCCGGTGTGGAGGATTCAGGAGTATGTGACCCTGCTTCAAGCCCTGTCTTTACACACACCCCCCCATCACCCAGACCGCGCGCACCTCCGCTCCGCCCTGGACACCATGTCACAGTTCAGACGGTTCATACAAAAGGTAGTTCACACACACACATATGTTCGCGGATTCTTGTTCGGAGAGAACTCCCAATTTAGCTTTAAAGGCATTAATGAAATGAACTCATTTAATTTCCAGCCTTTCCATTAACAGGTTCTCAGGTTAAGGTGCAGCATTGACAACAGCCAGTTTACCCATTTCAGGGTATCTATTCACATGTATGTCCAGGAACTAACTTCAACTGTAAACCAAATTCTTTTTTTCTTGCACCTTAGTTTTTGTGTTGGGTTTTCTGCCCGTTCTCAACCCATCATAAGAGCAAAACCTTTTTTTTTCTGACAGGACGTCAGATTGTATGATCGAGAGGGACCCTGATACAGAACCCTGTGGCACCCCACTGAGAATCCTTAGTGAATGATTCTAAGATTTAAAACATCTTGATCAACCAATCCATAAAAGCAATGCGCAGTGTTGTTATTTTTTTGTCTAGCTCAACATTGATGTCATTAATTCAACACGATATTTACGCATAAATGATATCAGAATGTCTGTATTCCCCCTTAGTGAGGGGTACAACGCATAGCACCCTCAAAGTCTTGTGGATGCCTTTATGAGTTACGGATGACTTTACCCCCGTGAGGTGGTACTGGCTTGGACTGAACACCCCAAAATGTTTCCTTCTCAGCTGAAGAGCAGCTCGGAGGCAGACCGGCTAATAGAGGAAACGCAGCAACAGATTCAGGGCTGTCCGGTAGGACCATATTTACCCAAATCAACACAGAACCTTACTATATAGGTATTTCAGTTTGATCTGATGTTGTGTTCCGTGTGTGTCCAGAGCCTTAGAGAAGGAAACAGGCAGCTGATAATAACTCAGGATGTGGAGTTGCTCAGGAGCCCTGACGAACAAGTTCCAGACTGCCTAAGGTGATACGTTTTAAACCATTCATGAGACAATTTTCCATCTTTATTATACAAGCTAGTAAATTACGGATTCCGTCATGCTAAACAGCGAAAGCCGATATTTAGGCTAGTTTAAAATTCACAATATGTACTAAATATGTACTAAATTCAGACTTTTGTTGTGTCCCCCTTTGTGTGTGCGCGTGCAGGACCTATGAGCGAGTGTCTGACGTGGGCCTGTTCCTTTTTAGCGATGCTCTGGTGGTGACGCTAAAAAACACGCGCCATACACCGTTCACACTCTCCCACCGAAGCACACACACTTTTCTGGCCTCCGTGGCTCTAACCTGCCTGACCGTCAGAGAGATCGTGCACTCACAGTGTAAGTTCAATAAATATATATTCAATATACTCAATATTGTATCTCCGTGTACTTTTTAAAATCATTTTATCACCAGTGACATGTCTTTTCTCTCCCCGATTTGAATCGCCTATTAGATGTGCGCCACGCATTCGTCCTGGAGGGCCCGGTCCGGTCTTGGGCTTGTTCCACCGATCGAGGAGAGGACAAAGCTGAATTCCTTTCTGCTCTGCGGGCAGCCATAAGTTCTGCTCTCACCGAACACGAGTGACATGGGGATCGTGATTGGACGGCGATATGTTATCAGCAACAGGACCCATATAAAGCTGTCAGATTCTATGATAATTAAGTATTATACAGTATACTTCATATATTTATATATATATATTGAACTATATAATGAATATAATGAACAATCATGCACATTTTTTTTCCTTATTATTTTAGTTAAAGGTTGTTGTATTGACTACACCTTTTAGAGATAAAGGGCTTAGCAGATTTGTTATTCCAACATTCGTTGTAAGGCGTCAGCTGCCCTGAAAGTCAAAGTTGTTGTGGAATTTAAGAGCTAAAGAGACTGATCACGCAAAAGACTCATCCAAAGCAAGTCTGTGGGAACAGCTCCGTGGAGCTAAGCAAGAGAAACTCTCAGAAACCACATCAAAACAATCAAAGTGAGAACATATTCTGTTATCAAAACCAAAGGCCATTTTACTGTTAAAAAAAAGCTTACATTTTTAGTTTTTAAGAATGAAGTGTTATCTGTGCTAAAAATATAAACGTGTTAGTCACCATATACCTGAGAAACATGGGTCAATAGTATGTGGTAAAACTTTGTGAGAGAACTGATGGTTTAACAGTATTATTTCAGGGCTGGATCTCTTCTTAAATGGGCACACTGCCATTTGAAGTTAGCATCATTGAAATTCCTCCCTTAAGACTCTAAAGATAAGGTATTTAGACACACTAAATGTGGCATTGGGGGGGTTGTGATCTGTAGGTGTCTCCAAAATAAAAAAAACGGGTTCTTTAATTCTGAAAAATGCATGAGAATTGGAACAAGGCTAAATGAGAATATTGTACTCCTAATAATCTTTCTTTTTTTTATTTGACTTTGCTGACCAATTGAAAAAGAAGGTTTTGACAAAGATATTTTATTAAACAATGATTCCTGACAATCATTTATGGTTTGTTTGTGTGGTCTGTTTCAATAAGACTTCTCTGATCTGATCATTTTGACCATGTGGACAAAATAACCTACTACCCCCCAGTGTTTCTCCAGTGTATTTGCATTAATAAGATAATGTCTGGGGGGAGTCTCTGCCCCACTGTCTTGAGCCGGTTGTTAAAAACTGTCTTCAAGATTCAAGAAGAGGTCCAGATACCTTCACACAAGCTCTAATATGAGCATCAGAAAAGACAAATGAATTGATCAATAAAATCAGAATTTGAAATTTACATCTTGTACAGTGTGTGTGTGATATTTTTTTTGACATTTTTTTTTACATTTTAGAAAAAAATGGATGGATGTTAAGTTAGTTAAAGTTCTTTGTTCATGTTTATAGTGTTTGGGAGTTCTTCTACCATGAAAGTGATTCAGTAATGTGTTCAAAGCCCCTTGTTGGGCAAATTAAAAGGTAAAGAACACCCTCATAAGAAAGAAAATAGAAGAAGACTTGTTAAAACTCCTTATAGTTCTACTTACAACAAATCCTCCATAAGGAAAAATATTGTTTATCCCCCCGAGTTTACAGTTTTTTTCCCTCATGTTTACAGAAATGTCCCTTTTAAATAGATTTTAATAACATGTTCTAGGTTTCCTGGTCAGATATTAACCAATCTTCCAAGTTAAAGTATAAAAAAATCTTTATTGATAAACAAAATAATACATGTGACATCTTTTAGATAACCTTTATGAAGCAGCTGCTTTACAATGAATCACATATACACTTATGTACATTATTGCCACTGTTTAAAAAAAAAAAAAAAAAAACTTTATGTGCCCCATCCTTAAAAATGGATTGCTTCACGTCATAACAGATGAGCACAACAAAAATGTACATCAATTTGATTCAAGAACACTACCATAAAATACTTTATATTTAGATCTCTGTTGATTTGTGTTTCGTTTATGTCAATGTCTTGCACAAATCTGCCACTCCAGATAGTTAAATCTGAATATTTTATGGAGTATCAATGCTTGTACGACTTTCTAAAAGTGGATTCACACAGCTTGGACACACAAACCCTATTCTAGCACGATAAACAGCTGCTTTTATTTGCAGTCATTGGAGCACCACCACGTAAAGATTTGTTCAAAGTGGAACAGGTAGTCTTTTTTTTCTATTTTCTTTTTGTCTACCACATAGAAAAATCCTTCAAGATGTACTTAGATGGACGTCACAGTCTCCGGTTGACCAGATTTGGGTTGTTGTTGTGGGACGAGGACGTGTGGGCCTGAGGCAGGTGGCTTTTGCTCTGAGGTCCCGGGCCAGCCACCGTGTTGTTCGGGCCTTTCGGGGAGCTGTAGCCCTTTGGTTTGGGTATCCTCGTGGGTCCTGGACGTTGGAATGCTTCAAGTGGTATCTGTGGATGTAAACATGGGTGGATGGTGAGAAGAAGGCAGTGTTTAGAACCACGAAACAGTTTTTACCTAAAGTTGATGGTTATAATGTTGACTCGCTTGCCAATATAAGTTGTCCTATTAGTATTATTATTATTATTATTATTATTATTATTATTATAAGTATTATTATATTAAATAGAACAATTATTATTATATATATTGTTATATTATATATTTTTCTATATTATAATTATATAATAATTATTATTTACATATTGTATGTTGTTATAATATACTGTTGTTATAAACTGCAATATGAAAAATGACAACAAGATGGCAGCAAATTATCTTTCATGGGGTTTAACATTTTCTTCCTTTCTGAGATTCTCAGCTAAAACAAAAAAAATAACTCTTTATGAAATAGAACATCTTAGTTATGAGACCGTAAATTTTGGTAAAACATTCCATTTCTATTGTTTTTTGTTCAAATGGAGGTATGTCATATGGTAAATATGAAAATGTTTAATTTTTTATGGGAAAAAAATGTTTTAAACGCTCTACGATCAGCTATTGTAATCATGTGACAATGTCTTTCTTAACTATTCAACTTTAGTTTGGAGCGTTTATTAAGGATATCCATCATAAAACTGAAAAAAATAAGGTATTTTTGGCCTTCGGATTTCATCCAAACATCAACATCGGCCTGACCGTGTTGCTTGGAAACCAGTGATCTCCGGAGCAACATCTTTTTTTTTTTTTACACTTACTTCCTATAACAGTTACTTGAGACATCGTCCACGGGTTTAAAGTTCCGGCCGCCTTTTATTCCTCATTCAATATCAATTGTATTTCCATTTCGAGCTAACTCTTGACTAAGACCCCTTTATGTTTGAATGAACAGGTATAGTTTTCTGCTATTGAATGCCCCAGATGGTAAATTACAGCATGACAAACAGTCAGTAGGCCAAATAGTTTCTCTCAAGTTCTCAGAAAATGTCATCATACATACTTTTTTTAAACCACATTGTCACTGCTCATTCATTTTTTCTTCACACTGTTCTAGAAAACTATCTTAGCAAAATATACTTTTTTGCTGACCGGTTTCCCCCCTTGAACAGCCACCTCAAATAACCCCCGTCCGAAGTAACCAACGTCTTCTTTTCTCTCCGGGGGGGGGGGGGGTGGGGGGGGTGGGAGTTAATCCTCTTTGACAGAGTTTGTCAACGATCTGGTCTAAAGTCCGCAGCCGAGCGCAACCGAAACTCCCTCCGAAATTTCCAGGAGTTTCATCACACGACTAGAAAAATATTCCCAAAAGCAGCCCTCTCAACCAAACCCACCCCCCTTAACAACCCCAACAACCCCCCCCCTCTCTCCGGCCTGAGGAAAACCAATTGATTTTGTGATTCCACAAAATTGACCCACAACCCCCCCAAAAAAAGAAGTGAGGTGCAGCCCTTAGATTTGTAAATTACAGAACAAGAAGAGGCTCATTGCTGCTAATGGGCCAGAAACCCCCCCCCAACAGCTTCTCCTTGTAGGATTTTTTTTTTTACTCTGAGAGCAGCAACCTAATGTTCCCCCTCGTATATCACAGGAGGACTTCCTCACCGCTGTTGCCATGGCGCTCCCAAACAGGAGCTTTGTTTTGGTGCTCGTCGTGCAAGCGGGAGAGAGCGTTTTTTTTACACGTTTCACAGTTTTATTGAGTCCATCTGCGGAGGCGGGCAGTTTTTTTTAAGCAAAAACAATCGTATCTGCTTTTGCTCGACTACAAAATTGCACATTAACAAGTTCGAGTAGTTCCAAATTTCCTATGGGGGATGTTTACGGTGAAATTACTGTTGGATTTATGGGTTTGGTCTCCATTTCTTTAGCTTTATCTTCTTTTTTTTCTTACAAAACCAAGTCCACAATGGGGTTTTTTAAAGTTCAAGCTTCAGGTTTTGTACAGTATAAGTAAAGTAAACCGGTAAACCAAAGTAAACCATTCAGTCCTGAATGTTTTTTTCTGTATTTCTGTATAACCTCCAAGTAGTTCTCAGTTTTTAGCATTATTTATGTAGGTCTTTTAACATTTTTTCTTTTTATATTGGCTCCCTTTTAACTTTTGTAACTACTCTTTTATTCTTTAGTCGCCTAGCATCCCTCTATCCATATTTTTCGACAGCTGGTTCCCACTGGGATCGTGGAGGGGGGGGGGGTTGGGGTTGCTGGAGCCTATCCCAGCTGACAACAGCTAACATTACTTTATACTCCTAACATTACTTTATATTATTTACTCTTTTAAAGGTTCATAATTCTTGTTTTTAATGGAGATACAGAGGAATTTGTCACTTTGTGGGTGATAAAACTTTCCTGGCAGGAGTGAATTCTCATCCTTTTTTTGTAAAAAATACTGCTTTTATATTTTTTTTCACGGCGTCGTTGCCAAGTGAGAAACAGATACCATCCGGAAAGTCACATTATTCTAATTTCACCCGTCTGGCACCGACACAGTGCTCGGATTTGTCTCCCTCCCATCGAATCAGCCCTTAAGTGAGTCGGGGGGGGGGTGGGGGTGGGGGGGTAATTGAGGTCACAGACGGCGATTCCAGCTGCCGGATTCCTTTCTCGAGATAATGAATAGCATCACTCGGTCGAAAAACCCCAGACAGATCCCAGATCTGGCTTTTCACACAGCTGGGGACTCTTCTCGTTTGATTCGGTTAATCATCTCCTTCCCTTTGCATTTCCGCCCCCCCCCCCCCTTAGAAAAATTATATTTCATGGTTCTGATCAGCTGGGAGTCCTTTAAAGAGAAATTTCTTAACCCTAACATCCCCCTATCCATATGCTTTTATGTTGTTTTTATTGAGACATGGTACAGTTTAAAGCCACAGAAAAAAGAAAAAAAACCTCTTCCTCATCCCCAAAATGAGTTTTTTCTTATTCTCCTGTCTCCGTTTGACGTTTGGTGCACTTTGTTTGAAACAGGCCGTGTGTATTTGATAGCTTTTCCACTGTAAATACATAACCCCCCCCCCCCCCCCCCCCCCCCCCCCCCCCCACACACAAGGAGGAACCCTTAGCAGTCGCCTCATTTCACAGGGCATGATTCATGGGATGACGCTAAATTAAACAGAGGGTTTGAGTTACTTTTCAGGGAGCAACAAGCTTGAGTTAGACTTTTGATGTTTTGATGTTTCTACGGGCATGTAATTTACAGTTTCTGGGCTTGTGTGTTTGTACTGACTTTTCAAGATTTATCCTGTACAAAATATTTTTAGCATAAAGGATGGATGGATGGAAAACTACAAAAAAAACAAGCAAACACATATTTGTGTCATTGGCGAGTGTCTGACTCAAGATAAGGGAAAATTTATGGTTTATTAGGATATTAATCCTTTTAATATGTTCTAAAATCATTAATGTTGGATTTAACACAGGCATTTTAAAGTTGTGCAAAAGTGACGTCAGAAAATGGAAAATGGCTTCATTTAGATCCCGATTACAGCCTGTGTTAGATTTCAGAACAATTTATCACCCCATCAAGACAAAAAGGTTGCTTTATATATCAAATCAATTCAAATTCTTTACTGAATTTTAACTTTGTCCAGTTGATAGGCTAAATGAAAGACCTGTACTTCTTTTTTTTTCAGGAAAAGCAAGTTTTTAGAGGTTAAAAGTCGAGTTTCCGTCTAATAATCTCAGAGAACTCCAACTCCCTACCCACTGCTTTTCGTTTCTGGTCACTGGGTTTTCTGTGCTCCGAATGTAGGAAGAAACCATGACATCAACCTATGATTTTGGGTCGAGCAAGCTAACACATGTTAGAATCAGAGAGTTTTTTTTTCCCTTTGCTTTTTGATCTTTAGTATATTTACAGACTTGGAAATGTGATCCATTGAGCAGACATGATAGGCTCTACCTTAAACTGAAATAAGTTTTTCTTCAGACTATTTTTAATGCAAGACATTCCGAGCGTGCTACATTTGAATGAAAAAAGGAACTTTGCAAGCATGGATGACAAACTAAAACATTTTTTCACACTTTAATTGTCTGAAAGTGAAACAACTTAGCCGTAATGCAGAATGTGGTATATGAAGTATAAAACTGGTACGGTACATCAGTTTGAATAGTCCGACGACGCGATCGCTACATTGTGCCGTCGAGTATAATACAGTAAGTGCACATAAGTTAGAACGTGGTGTTATCTCAGATCAAATCGACAATTCTAGCGCTACTTTTTCCACGCCCACATTTCTTTTCGATCGAAATCGATCACACAGCAGCACCAAGCAAACCGGTTCGACAGAAAAACGTAAAACATTCAGTTGTTTAAAGTCGTAAATGAAGTCAGACACACACACACAAGGCACGACGTGGATTTGGGACTAGGGTCTTGGATCTCACGGTCGGGATTCAGGACGGAAGATGGGATGACGGTTTTGGGGGGTTATCGGCTCAGTCGTAGGCGTTACTTACTGTAATCTGGGACGGCCTTTGGACTGGGGTGGAGGTGGGCTTAATCGTGATGCTACTCGTGATTTTGCCGCCGCCTTTGGACGCGGGGGGGACGGCCGCCTGGCTCCTTTGCTCCTGGACGCCGGGCGCGCCGCAAGGGTTAGGCGTCTGGGACGGAATGAAGGGGCTCCCCAGGTGGATGTGGATCTTGTTGTCCTCCGTAGTGATGACGTTCGGCCCCGAGCTGTTGGACCTCTGGACCTGCCAGCCGCCCGGCCTCTCCGGGGTCACGCGGAAGACGGCGTGGCCTCCCGCGCCGACCTCCCCCGGCTCCGCCGAGACGGAGCGATCGGGGGTCCCCGTCACGACCGATACAATCTGGATTGGCGACATGGCTCTGTCCGGTGTCATTGATCCGCAAGAGTCCGGGGTCATCGTCCTGGAGTAAGAAGCCATGGTGAAAGGGGACAGGGCCCTATCCGGGGAACACGGCTCATCGGACATGGAGGGAGACTTGGATTTAGCCGTAGGGGAAATGGATTTCGCGGTAGGGGATATGGAAGCGCTCTGGATTATGGTGATTCTTTGCTTGGGCGGACCTCCGCTTGTGGGTATGACGGCAGTGCTGGTAAAAGACTGGGCGCTCTCCGTGGTCGGGCTGGTGATCTCCAGCATGGCCGTGTTGTGTCCGTGGTCGGGGGTCACTTTGATGTGCAGGGGCTGCCCGGGGCTGTGGGTCAGCACCACGTCTCCAGGCTGGACGTGGTTGCCGTTCTGCCGCAGCTGCACCTTCCCGTTCACCTGATGGGGGGCGTCCTTGCTCTTGAGCAAGGGGCCCCGGGAGCGCCTCAGGCTGTTGTTGAGGTTGTTCACGTTGTTGATGAGCGAGGGGCCGCGTTTGGCCAGCTGGAACTCGTTGCTGTAGTTGGCGTTCTCTTCGGCCTCGCTCTCGCGGTACAGCTTCCCGTTGACCACGGCGCATTCCAGGGGAGCCACGGCTTTGCAGTCGGGGGGCAGGAAGTCGAGCGGCTCGGTCTGGACCTCCTTGCAGGACACGTGCAGGTCCGAGAAGCGCCTCCCGTTCATGCCGGGACGAAGGCTTTTGCTAAAGCGCCTGTATCGCTCCAGCTCCCGGGTGAGCGTCTCCATTTCTCTGGCCAGCTCTTTGTTTCTGACCTCCTGCTGGGTCAGCTTTCTCTGCAGCGTGGAGTGGTCGGTCTTCACGCGGCATATGGACTCCTCCGTTCCCATGTACTCGTGGATCTTCTCCTTCAGCGCCGCCACCTCCCTGGTCAAATGGCTCGACTTGGCCTCCTCCTCCTTCAGCCGTTTGTACAGCACGTTCTCTTGGTTGCACTCTTTCTTCTCGGCCAGCTGGTACTTCGAAAGCTCCTTCCTGGATATCTCCAGCTCCTCCATTAAGGCTTTCGCTTTCTCTTGCTCACTGGCGAATCTTTTCTCCAGTGTTTCAAACTCCTCCGTTTTCAACAGATCCCCCTCGGCCACTTTCATGTCCTTTAATTTGCTTCTGAGACGTTCGACCTCCTGAGTCAAATCCTTTACTTTGTTGTCTTCCTGCTGGAAGCGGTTAGCGAGAGGCGTTTTAATGTGTTCCTCTTTAGCTTTGTTCCTAAGGTGTTCTCTCTCGATTGTTTCGAGTGATTGAAGCCGTTTCTTCATCATGTTGATCTTAGACTCCAAGTCTTTGCTGTTCTCTTGCTCGGCTTTCAGCTTGGCTCTCAGGTCGTCTCTTTCCTTCGTGGCACCACACATTTTGTCCTCCAGCTCCGCCTTTGATCTCAGCGCTTTCTTGCTCTCTTCGATGAGCTTCTCCGTGACCGACGTCACCTTGTCCTGCTCGGCCTGGAGCTTGCCCGTGCTGTTCTGCACCTTGTTCTCCATCTGCTTGAGCTTTTCCGCCATCGCCTTCCTCTCGTCCACCAGCATGACCGTCAGAGTCTTCAGCTTGGTCAGGTCTTCCTTCAGGGCCGTCTCGGTCTTTCCCAGCTGGCTTTCGGCGGCCTCCAGCTCCTTGACCCTGACGTTCAAAGCTTCCAGCTCACCGGTCAGAACCTTTGACACCGTCCTCTCCTTTTCCAAGTTAATCTTGACTGAGCCGCACTCTTGTTTGCTCTTGCTGAACGCGTCCTCCAACTTCTCCAACTCCATAATCCTGTGATTCAGCTTGTCCACTTCGGCTTTCAAGCACCTACTCTGGTTGGCCTCCTTCTCCAGCTTTTTGTTGAGGTCCCTGCAGTGGTCCTCCATGCGGATCAGCTCCTCGTCCTTGCCCTCCATCTCGAGCACCCGCTTCCGTAGCTCCTCCAGCTCGGACATGAGGCTGGAATTGCCGCACTCCCCGCGGCTGATCTTGTCCCTCAGCTCCTGGAGCTCCTCCTCCGCCCTCCGCAGGGTCTTGTTGGTCTCCTCCAGCTCGTCCAGCTGCCGGCTGAGGGCCGACAGCTTCTGGCGGAGGTGCCTGTTTTGGGCGTCCTCGGCGGTCAGCTTGGCCGTCATGGCGTCTTGCTCCTGGTGGTAACGACCGGTTTGGCCGTGCAGCTCCGCCTCCAAGCGAAAGACCTTCTGCTCCTCTTCCTGCAGACGAGCATTAGCCGAGGTAAGCTCTTCCTGGGCGCGCGAGGAGATGGCGCTCAGTTCCTGGACCTTGGCCGTCTGTTGGGTCAGCTGCTCGGAGAGACGCTGTTGTTCATCCACGACCATCAACGCAAAAGATTTGAGTTTAGTCAGCTCTTCTTTCAGACTCGTGATCTTTTTGTTGCTCTCTTGATCTTTTCGTTCTTGGTAGACCTTGTCCTGCTCAATTAACAGCTTCAACCTGTCATAAAAAAACAGGAAATAAAGCACATGATTTAGTCAATTTGATTTGAAATTAGCCAAACAAATCAAAGATAGAAAAATTCTATATGGAGTCGTATTTTCCCTACATTCGTTTTATTCGGTTGTTTCCAGTTTTCTTTATTGGCCTATGAAAGAAACTCTGCAACCCCCCCCGGCACCGTCTTTACCCACAGGACTCATTTCTCCAAGCACTGGCACATCATAAACACAGTTATTTTCCCCGCATTTTTTAAGGAGGACTAAAGTTTCCATGTCATGGAAAATTTAACACATCATGAAAGGGGTCATGTTCGGAAATACCTGTGGTTATGTTTTTCCCCCATTTTGCCAACTCATTTGCATGAGCTGAAGAAACCCGAGTTATGACTGTATATATTCATCCTTGAGTTTACCAAACTGTGAATTCTAGAAAGTTTCCATGGCCGTTCGAGGTGTTGTAAGAGAGCTGCTCTGTGAAAATGTGTAAATGCTGATTTAATCTAATCACACTAGGTGGTCTTTAAGAAATTACTTTACTGACCAGGGTATAAACCAAAAAATTCTTTAAAAATGTACCGGGAATATCTATTCCCTTTGAACTCCAGAAGCAGTGGACAACATTGCTCAAGAATTTGCTGAAGCATAATTAATGTGCATTCTCGGGAATGCATAAGAAAAGACAAAGAGTTTGGGGGGCGAGCCAGTAAAAACAAACACGAGTGCTTTCCATGCAAACAGGATGTCAGGTACATTTTTTTGGCCGTAAATGAGGCACTTGCGATTTGGAAATGAATGCTGACATCGAAGGTCAAAGGCGAGAATAAGGAGAATAAAAAGTGACGAATACGAAATTGCGCGCAAATCTCTACGGGGTTGCTATACGTTTTTTGCCACCTGACGCCGTTACGTGGTGAGGACGTCGGCGTGTTTCTTTTTTTTATTTAACCAAAGCGCCTCCTTCCCCGGGGGGGAAAGCAGCTGCCGGAACATGGAACGATCCTTAAATTGAGGGGTTCCTCGACTACCGGCCCTCCTCCTCCCCCCTTTAACCAAAACCGCCGCTACCTCCCCCCTTCCCCTCCCTCCTTTACACCTTTAAAGGAATCCCCCCTTCCCCCCAAATCCAATTACACCCCTATCCCCCCCCCCCCCCCCCCACCCAAGCCACACACAAACTCTCAGGGATCAATAATTCCACAGAGGTTGTGAGCCATGATGTAAGCGTGCTCCAAGTAGGGTTGGGTCGCTTCAAAGGCGTGGAGTGTCACCGCTTTCATCAGTAGCTGCCAAAGAGGGGACGTTTTAATTGCATCCACATGTTATAATTAGAAGCAAAAGGCATACCAACATAAAGATATCAGGATATATATGAGAATACGTCAGTGTGCTTTGCAAGGCTACTTGTGGGGTCACTTTATTTAGTTTTCCTTTGTTTCTTCCATTTCTAAATCAGATTCAGGGCGTTCCTTGTACAGTTAGCTGGTCAATAATTCAGCATTGTTACAGTGGGGGAAATAAGTATTTGACCCCTTGCTGATTTTGCAGGTTTGCCCACTTACAAAGAATGCCTATTTTTCCTCATCCGATGGTTATCAATTTTTATAAATTCATATGATGGGATTTTCTTAAATTTTCTTTGGGATTCTGTCTTTCACTGTTAGAATGTACATATGATTAAAGTTATAGATCGTTGC